TTCCCATAATTTCCCAATGGTTATAGAAATTTTCGAAAAAGCACCATGAAAAATGGGTAGAATACAATGAACAAAAAGTTTGGTTTTCCCATAGTTATTTCCATATAAATTTCGCATATTTTTTGCCAAGTCAGTTTCTTACCAATGAGTTTAAATTTTGGGAGGCTAATCAGGACCTGATTTGAAACCGTTTGAGCACTGTGGAGCAAAAATTTCAAATTTTGCATCAGTCTAACGTACACGCGTATGCTACTTCCCCATCACAGTAATCAGAGAATCGTTTCTAGACGAAAAATATACAAGTAGTATTGCTGCTTCCCCAACACTATCATCAATTGAATTTTGTTACAAACAAAGAACAATGAACTATCGGCTCCGTAAAGCTAACGCAATTGAGCCTACCAAATAAACGAACTAGTTAAAAAAAAACACTATCATTAGAGAGTTGTTAGTAGCCGAAACAAGTCGAAGTGGCATTCGCCTCCGATCTCCATCCACTTTCTGTTTCGTTAATAACTCGACGGCTAACACATTCATTGATACATTTGTTGTTCTGAATGATGGAATATCATAGCAGAAATAGTGCGAAATAGGTTAGTGAAGCCATGGTCATCAAAAGAGGAAATCGATGAAGAGAATTGACTTTCACCTCTCTGCTTCTAAGCCCCTTACTTCAATCGTCGTTTTCATAGCAATGAAAACTAGCATCGCATCTCATCGATTAAATATTTATCGGAATTTCAATTATTCGAGCACGTAACCTTATTTCTACTTGTTTGATTTAGCGTAGTAGAGGAAATAAATAAAAGCACTAATTTATCTGAACAGGCATAGAGCTTTTTTTTTGTTTTTGATCTTTATTTAAGAGATTTTAAGCCATAGGCGGTTGAGGTCAGCCTTGGTAGCTAGCTGCTTGTGGGTAGCCTTTCGTTGTTTACTTGAGAACACCACCCTTCACCACGCGGTGATTGAATACACAGCTTGGTGAGACCGGATGCAATTCAACTTGAAAATCTGTGTTAGGGAAATCGCTTTTCGCATGCAATCGGTGATAATTTTAATTATTAAAGCAACAATTGCACATTCGTGCAATTTTCAACAGTGACATTTTGAAAAATGATAAAGTCTTAAATTAAACAGATGCGTAGAAATATATCTGATCGATTGGTGATAAAATTGTTGAAATTGGTCGAGGGGCAGCTGATTTATTAACATGCAAAATCATTCATAATTTTGTTACATGATCCATTTTTGGTTTTCACAAAGTGTACCCCCATATAGACATCACGACTGTAGTCCTACGTTAAAAAAAAACATTTATTGAAACTAAAACATTGCTTACACTTTCCTGACTTACGACTAAAACTGAACTGTCTTGCATTCCGTTCCGTAGGTCCAATTTGCCACGTTAAACTGCTGACTCGTAGCCGCTCGATGGGTGCGAAGTCCTTCTCACTGGTGTTGGTGGTGGTGGTGGCTGGAGTGTATGAGTGTTCTTATAAATCGGCCAAAATTTTCAAGGTCCATTTTCCGACGATAAGCACATTGTCATCCCAGGCAACTGCATCAGTTTGGTATGATAAGGTATACATTTCAAAGCAGCTTCTTGCGAAGTTCGATGGATTCAAGGGGGTAAACGTCGCCCACGATGATGACGGATAACTTCAACCGAATTGGTAATCTGCCTGCAGCTCTCTGCCAACCAATTTCTAGCAATTGTTATTATCATCATTAATGGCTATTGGACAACAAAAAGAACGAGAGACGAGCAAAACTTGCTTATTGACATAGACAACTGCCGCCCATTCATTTCGCCGTAGCCGTTGTTGCGTTGGCGTCGCTACGTTCACTCCCGCGATGTCAATTGTGCGATGATTCAAATTAAATTATCCGATTAAGGTAATAATCTTAAATTACTTTCATCGCTGTTTCTGCGGCTTCCTGCCTAGGCATCTTCCGGTCGCGCTATCAGCTTTGGAAATGACAAAAGGAAAGATGAAACCTGCACACATTGTTGAAATATATGGCTTTTATCTCACCGTGCACGTAGTAAAACTTTGGCATTGAGGGTGTTTCACGTTTCACAAAGTCACCCTGTCGCCGTCCTGGTTGGAATAGTACCTTGGGCACCAGAGGGCAAACTTTGACGAATTAGCAAACAGGAATAATGTTCTGACGGTGACAGCGTTCGTATTCCGAAGATGTGAGGTTGGGAGGCTCTGTCATTAGGAAAATTGATTGGATTAAATGGAATGGCTTCAGCTCAGTGTTTCATTATCGGTCGGTACCTAACTGCAGGTAGATGTAATGCCTTCATTTCAACTTGCAATGGCATGTCCTGTCATGTTGATTGATTGGAAGTAAATTGTCCTCTAAATGGCCACCGCATAGGAAGCCAATTGTGAAGGGGAACCTCTTGGTTCTTGGATCGTGTTTGCACAATACGTGGGATGGTTTCTTAAAGCTGTCATTTGCAGTCCTATTTTTTATGAAGGTGCCACCAGGCCGTATCCAATGGATATTTAATATGTAAAGCAAACTCATTGGAAATCAACATAATTTATAATTCAATAAACACGACTCTTCACACCATAAAATCATTGATTTATATAAATAAAAAAGAAAATAAAATATATTAGTTTGTACCATAAATGTTTCTTTTAGTGCAATAAATAATTTTGGGTTTCAAGTATTTGTTTGATAATGAAATCTTATGTATTCAATAAAATATTTGAGACAAATTACGTTTAATGTTTTGTTGTTGAATGGTGAAATTTAAGGATCATTATTCTTTGAAATCGTCAACGCCAATAATTAAACAGTGCAGTCTGATTTTTACTCTTGAGATAGCACATGACCACCACGTGTTGGACCGTATCACCACTTCGTGATTGTCAAGCTTTCCATTGTTCCATTATTATCATCCTGAACTGAGAAACATTAAAGCCCTGCACACTAAGATTATTTTACCGAAAGCTCAACAGCTGAACGTTCGGTAAACAGTTTGGTGATTTTTCACAGATATTCGTTAAATCAGGCATGCAGATATAAAGTCACAGCCCATCGTTGACGTCGATGCCACATCTCAACTAAGCATTCCAGTAGACATTATAACATACACGACCATATTGACGACCAACCAGATCGACAGAAAGGGAAGGCGTTTTTGAATTCGGTTCGCTCCGACTCCAACCCAGAATGTAAAACAACAGCGGTGACGAACTGGGTGAACCTCATCCACTAACGGTTCCTAATGTGAAAAATGTTAAATGTTCAGTATTATTTAAATATTTTGGATTAGAACCTTATTATTTCTTAAATATTCTGTCTAAATTCGGGACCTCTTTAAAATTTTATTGGAAACTTTGAACAATTTCAATCAGCCTCAAAAGGCGAGGGGCGCGAACTTCTAGGTATAAGTGCGCGATATTTAAAATATATCGTAATTATTTTAATACTCTGAAGGTAGTAATAATTTGAATTTAAATAGTTTAAGCGGCATTGAAAGCAATTAACAAATAATGAACGATAATTTCTGTAACGACATATAATTTAAACATATTGAAAACAATTTATACATTAAATTGTGTAAGTAATTAAAGTATTTATAGAAATGAAGACGTTAATATATCCAGAGGGACAAATTTAAAGAATTTCAAAGTTGATACGTGTTTTGGAATGTAGCAATAGCGTACCGTAGCGTACCTTTAAGGATTTTGAACGTACCTGAAAGCTTCCCGGAAATCCCGTGTCCCGCTGGATAGACATACGATTTCAGCATTGACCAAGTCGATCGACCAGATTTCTACGGAAATGTGACGTACCAAATGCGTACTTTACGAATCTGGTATTAATTTTTAACGTACCTCATATTTTCACTTAAATGTTCATACTTAATTTTTTAAATCGGTTTATATCTAAGTTCTGGGAACGGAACTGAATTTCTCGAAAATTTTTAGTCCAATTTCATATAAAAAACATTATACTTAAGTGCACTCTAGCCAGTTTGAGGACCAAACACAGTTTTCTTATTTGCATCCCTTAAAAATATACTAATTTCGAACAAAACCCTGAATTTCATAAATAATTATGGAGACGCATGATGCTGTTTGGAAAACTCCATCATCTGAAATGCCTTGAATACTTTCTGATCTGATTTTAATAACAACTAATATTATTTTAAAAATTCAATTTTTTCAATGAAACATTAGAGAAACCTGATCAAATGATCAGATATCTTTCAGAAACTATTTCTGAATATTCCTGGAATACTTTCTGATTGGTTATGACCAAAGTACCTAATTTGAATTCACTTATACTCAAAAGTATCCTGGAAATGTATTCAAACACATGCCTTTCAACCTCTTCTTGCATCTTACAAGTACAAAATATGATTATAAAATCTAATGATTTTAAAATTCAGAAAATCATGTTTTTATAGCAAGTGAGTGGAAGCAAGCCTGGTCCGATCCTGGTTGGTCTCGTTCGCTATCGTCTTGTACGAGATAGGAAGATGCTCGATGGACTGGCAGACGATGTTGCAGATTACAGTTTCAACCTCAATCGACGCAATGATGTAGTCCTCGTCCGGCTTAATATGTGAGTTGATTAGGCGAGAAAGGATGTCTGTATGTCCGAAATGGTCAGTGGATATGTACTCGATTAGAAAGTCATACAGAAGCATAGTGAGGGCCCACCTTTGAAGCCGGTTAGCTGTGTATGGAGGTATTCCACGCTTTGAACCGAAAATCTCTAGCAGCGGTTTGTGGTCGGTCTGAAGAACAAACTGCCTTCCGTAGATCATTCTGTGGAATTTTGTGACCGCATACACCAGACCCAAGGCTTCCTTCTCTATCTGGTTGTACCGGGACTCAGCTGGCGTCAGGCTTCGGGATGCATGGTAAATAGCCTTCTCTAATCCGTCTGGAAATCGGTGTGCAATGCGAGCACCAATGACCACATTTGACGCATCTGCAGACACAACTATTTCAAGACGAGGATCACGAGTGCGTCAGCATGAGCGATGACTGGAGGATTTCTTTGAAACGATCAAATAAACACTGGCAAGCCTCGGACCACTGGTAGTTGGAATCCTCCTTGAGCAGCTCATCCAGCGGTTGGCGTAGTGTACGCATTTCCCGAATGTATTTTCCGTAATAGTTTATCGCACCTAAGTACGAACGAAGCGTAGGAACATCGTGAGGAGGAGGCATGTTGACGATTGCTTTCACTTTTTCCGGGTCCGGACGAATGCCCTCTGTATCCAGAAGCTGGTCCAAGTACTTCACCTGGCGCATGAAGAATCGGCACTTTTCGTATTTTGCCGTAAATCCATACTCTTGAAAGCGCTGTAGAACACGGTATAGGATGTCGTCGAGATATGGAGATGTACACGGGAGCCCACTTAGCATGGTATCCATGATCTGCTGGAAAGCGCCGGGTGCACACTTGACACCAGGGGAAAGCCGATTGAAACGATAGAGCCCCTTGTGGGTGTTGATGGTAACGAGCTTCCTGCTTTCCTCGTCGAGCTCAACTTGTAGGTAAGCATCCGACTGATCTATGTGGCTAAACATCGTGCAATTCGCCATCCGATTAAATATGTCTTCCGGGAGTGGAAGCGGGTAGCTATTTGATTCGAGCGCATTGTTTAATCCGGTGGGGAAATCCGCAGAAATGCGCACGGAGTGATCCGGCTTGCGGACAACTACGATGGGAGCTGCCCAATCTCCATACGTCACTGGTGTGATGATACCCAAATCTTCAAGCCGCTTCAGCTCGTCTTCAACTACGGCCTCCATGTTGTACGAAACTGGCCGCTTGGGTTTGAATACTGGCTGAGCGTCCGACTTGAGAGTGAGATACACTTGTGTTTTGATGCACAGTCCCATACGATTGGTGAACACATCGGGGAAATTGGCCTTCAATTCGACTACCTGGTGATCTGGTTGTTGGCTACCGACCAACTTGCACAATGATGAAAATGGTACGTCCCAGAGCCCAAACTCATCCATTAGATCTGAGCCTAGAACATTCAGGGAAAGGTCAGTACAACAAACGTAGCAATTATCTTCCTTATGAGTTCCGCCGATAGTGTACGTTGCTCGGAACATGGCCTCGATGTTTAGTCTGTCTCCGAAAGCTGTTTGCACTTGACAGTCCGGTGGAGACGTTTGAGGTGTCCCGACATTGATCCAGTTCTGCCTAGATGTCCGAACCCGAGTCCAGCTGCATTTCAACCGGAACTCCGTTGATCGCCGTCTCCTCATAGCGCCGGCTGTGCATCACGTTCTTTACGGTTACAATCCTGGATGCGTGGTGGTTTTTGTTTATCTGCTTCCCTTTGAACGAATTAGAACTCGGCGTGGATGTGGCCGGTTATGGCCGGTGCGGCCACAGTCACGGCACTTGTGAGTCTTGAAACTGCATTGGCTAGAGAAGTGCATGCCGCCGCTAGACCAACACGGTGTCTTCGGTGTGTCGGATTTGTTACCGCCAAACTTCTTCTTGTGACGGTTGTCGTGGGGGGAACTTGCTCGAACAGCTTGCGATGCAACAGTGCCAGCAGCGGAGGCAAAATGACTGCCGATTAGCGAAGTGTCTTTCTTCAAATTAATCATGCTTTTGCACTCCTCTACTATCTTCTCCAGTGTGATGTCCTGTGTTTCGTTAATTTTAGACAGCAAGCGCATCCAGATGTCCGCGTCCTTAGATGATCTCAACCCGCACACGAAAATAAGGGACTTAAACTGGTCCTCTTTGAGCTCCTGCAGCTTGAAATCGACGCAAGCTCTGTTTACCCTACAGGAGTAGGTAATTAAATCTCCATTTTCCCCCTTCGCCGTCTGGTGGCACTGGTACCGACGATGGAAGGTGGAAACCGGACTGCCGAAAATGGTTTTCAATTTGGCAATCGTTTGCTCGAAGGTGAATTCCTTTGAGAGTTTGGGAAGAATGAACGAAGTGTAGCTTTCGTGTGCTGCGGGGTTGAGCTTTCGAAGCAGTAGCCGTACTTTCGCGCCGTCGTCCAATTTGGCAGCGTCCTTCTCAAAAAGATCTGCATACCTGGAGAACCATGCATCGAATGAACATTCCTTTTCCAGATCGTAAGTAAACTCGGTAATATTGCTCGCTAGGTAATCTAGAACTAGCTCGTTCTGGTTGATGCTCTGGACATTTCCTTAGATGTTTGCCATCTGCTCCGCCATCCGGTCGGGTCATCAGTACTTGTTGGTTGCTTAGGAGCTGCAAGATTGTTTCCTTGAACGGTTGATCCGCGGTGCCACCTGCGGCTCCTGGTACTGGTGGTTGTGGCCCAGGCATGGCGAACACGCGGATGGTACTCGACGCGACGTTTTTCGACCGATTTTCGAGAGAAAACGAAAAATATCCGGCACGACTTTGTTTACAGCCTTATCGCCAATTTGTTACGATGTAAGAGTGAACCGAGTGATGTAACGTAACAAACAAATAAACTTTGTTTTAGGACAGAATACAAAGTTATAATTAATACTGTTCAGCCGGCGATTACTAATGACGTTTCATTCTCTGATAACAAGATGACTGCGATAGCATCCGGTCGAATGACAGCTGTCGGGTGACAGCCGTGAGTTTAGGGGAATAGGGTCGCACTCCAACAGTAATGCACCACGAAAATGTGATTTACCAGCATAACTGGTTATTTAAAAGAAATTCCATGTTGAATTTGAAAAAAAAAACAGAAAAATTACGGGAACTTCAGGATAGATCTTTGAACTTCAAGGCACATAGTACGTATTATTGTAGCTACATCTGATACCTGCAAGTTTTTCGCTAATGACAGCTAATAAAGCAGCAATTCAAGCTTACTATCCGTCTCGATGGAAGAAATGGCTGCTGTTTAAAAATGTTAGACAGTATTAATTTTGTAGTCATTATTATTAGTTGTACGATCAGTGAAGAGTATCAGTTTAACTCACAAGTGCCTCATGAAGAACCGAGTCATGCCACTTATTTATTAATAGCCCCCATTCCACTGAGACCACGAAGATAGTGAAATACAAACTACTTTCGAATACCCTCGCAAACCATTACAAGTTCCAGCGAACTCCATCAACACAATGCAAATTTACCTGACAGAGTACTAGCATAGATGCTTTTTGCAAAGCATGCCTTCCACCTTCCTGTGCCCCAACCCGTCAAAATATACGAGCAAACACGAAACCCGATCCACCTTCAGCACCATCGAAAAGTGAAACGGTTCTACCTTGTACCGAACGCCTTTTAAAAATAGCCACATGAAACTGATGATGTTCGATAGCGCTACTGCTGGCTTCTACTCGGTTGGCAGCACCACACCATTGCACCGCATCAGCTTCTAATGATATCAATCATCCAGCCTTCTTCCCAGCACAGTCGGAGTCGGAACCTTTCAACCCCCCAATCCGAACGCAATAGAAAACGGAAAGTGGCACCTGTTGAGCTTTATTCTGATGTAGACGAATCCTTCTGCCGGAGAAGGGTTCCACGTATTTCCCCGTAAGAAACCAACGACGACGACGACGACGACGACGAGAAGATGAACTTTCTACGAAGCCACTCTCCACTATCTCACTCTCAATGGCGCTGCGGGGTTCACCTTTCAGTGTAGGAGGAGGAAATCTACCACTGAACGATGAAACAATACAGCTTTTATAGAGAAACAAATCGAATTACTCTTCTGATTAAATTACCTGTTGTGTGTGTGTGTTGCTTGGTTGCACCTTCCTAGGCTGTTGCTGCACTTGCCATCGTGATTCATATCTGAGAGGAAGAAGTGCATCCTTTTGAAGAATTTGAGAAACTCTGTTGGTCCGGATTGAATTTACCATCGGATTGAACGAAGCTATGTTATTCTTACGGACGAATTGTTCGAACAATATTTGAAAACGCATCCATCAACTACCAACTAAAACATTGAAAAAAATTATACAAATTGCATTTGGAAAACTTTGGAAATCCAGGCTGCATGACAGCCACGGAACTGCTGCGTTCGCTGGTTTACTTTTGAACATTTTTTTTTTCTCTCATTCAACGCGAGGAAAGTTTTTCCTGAAAATTCGATTATGACCGTTGTCGGCCCGTCTGGAACAGAAGAAGGTGGTACCAGCATGAGTCGGAAAAAAAATTACAAATGTTTGGTACAGGAGTATTGCCAGAAGGGCTTTTTTCTCAGGAACTTGATGAGAAATAGCATTTGAGAAAATTTAATCATTCTTAATTATTGTGCGGGTGTAAAAATTGGCTGGTGTCGACATTCACCGGTTGGTTTGAGCCAAGATCCGTGCTCGTGGGGAATGTTCCGGGGCTGGACTGATTTATGCAGAATGTGTGAATATTTAAGCATTTATTTTGGATGAACTATGATTCGTTTTAAGGGAGAAACATACAGGCTTGGTACTTTTTTTTTGTAAATTCTTTTATTTATCAAGGCTCAAATGCGGAATCTTTACGGAGCCGTAGTTCATTTTTTTCGTTTTACAATGTTTCTTAAAAATAGAGTTCGTACAAGAGGTGTCCAAATACTCGCGGCTTACTCGAGGCTACGGGCTATAATCTATTAGAAGGTAGGGAAGGGATCAAGAAAAAGGTACACAAGGATGCGATTGATATATTTATCTCCATCGCCGTTCACTGGCTGTTTTTCGCCGATTGGCCATGGGAGATGCAGTGAGGTAACGGGAAAGTGTTCTTGATCTCTGGAGATGACTGGTGGTTGTTTACAACTGCAACGAAACATAAAAAGTGGGGCTTGCGAAGGGACAAAGACGAGAGAACACATGAAACAAACTGATCAAAGTACTCAGGGCAAACCAAGGGAAGAACAGACAAATTGACACTTAACCGATCGTAGATAGCCTCACAAAGGTAGATTTCTTCTTTGACATATCCAAATTCAATTTAACTAAAAGTATTTAAAGTGCACATAGTTATTGATAGGACAACTAATTTGGAATAGGTTTGAAGCAATTCACTTTGCAAAATATAATTGAAACACTTGGTGGCTAGCATGCTGCGTTGCGGCCGTTGGTCGGATGGACGCCGTCGAGGTCGATGGATCCAGCTGGACTGGCGATCAGCAGATCGACCACAATAGTGGGAAAACCACGAGGGAGATATTGATAGTGGTTACTCACGTACCTTGTCGTGCGATACGCCGATCGCTTCGCAGGGTGTTTGTAGTGGCATGGGTTGCGAACTACCAACTGGGGTCGGGTCACGTGTTAACGGATGAACGTTATGTTAACAGCAATTAGCCGATCGTGTTCGGACTGATGATTTGCGGCTGCTCACTGACAAAGCCGCGCCTGGATATCGAACGAGGATTCGTTCACAAGTCTTCTCATCCGCGCAGGATGGCATTCACCGACTACACGGAACCGTATGTTGACGGACGGTCGATTTTCACTCGAGATCACAAGATTTTCTTCTGTGCGCACTAGAGTGGAATTTTATAGGTAGGGAAAGGAACTAACGAAATCGGGCACGTGTCGAATGGTTCGATCATTAACGTACCAGGCAATCCGATCAAAACCCCCGCACAAAAGGTCCAAAGGACACCACTCTACCTCTTTCACCTCCTAGTAAATGTGTCAGTGATAAGTCACCACCTAAAGCTTTTTCCGCACTCAAACTGCCCAATGTAACTTTTTCGGAGATGATTCTCCAATCAATAGCACTCGAGTAAAAAACCGCGTATTCGAACTTACTGGTGATTTCTTCAAGAATCAAAAGAGAGCTTCTCACTGGGTGGAATGCCTTATATACCATCTGCTCTCTTGTCGCTGATCCCCGCTCTCTCTCTCTCTCTCTCTCTCTCTCGGTAATCACCCACTTCCTGTTGATGCCAGAGTTGTAGACGCCATGTTTAGTACAGATGATAACGTCATTCGTGCTCTAGACATTTAGCAGGATTTGTGTTGGAGGCTGCTTAAAACTAGCTTTCCCTACCATACGCTTTTTTATAATTCTTGTTCGAGGGTAATCTAGTCGCGCC